AATATTGTGATGACATAGCACTTCTCTTTCAACTCCTACTGATCTTCACCCATATGTTCTCCAACAGTGAAAAAAAATACCTGTATCAAGATTTATTTATTCATTCAACAATAATTTGTTAAGCCCAGAGAGGAGAGGAGATGGGAGGGGAGAGAACAGGAAGAGAGACGAGGGGAGAGGAGAGGAGAAAAGAGCACAGGAGAGGGGAGGATCCTCCACCGTCTGAAGGATGAAGTTATTGTTAAGACAAGCCAGGAAATTATTAGGTACGTCGATACTAGCAGAGAGAGGGCTCTAGCAGACGTCCCCAATAATACAAGTCCCCTGTCACTACTATAGCAGGCCTCCATGCCAAGCTTGTGATGTTTACTCCATTCCTCACTTATTTCTTCATTTTGTCCAAGTGCTCCTGATGGCAATATTGCTTCTTTTTCTGATTCTATTGATCTTCATCCAAATGCCATTCAATATGCTTCTGGCACATAGAAGGTGCTTAGGAATGCTTGTTGAAGCAACATTGTGCGATGATTAACTGTGATAGACTTAGCTTTTCTCAGCAATATAATGGTCCAAGACAAGTCCAAAAGACTAGTGATGGAAAATGCTAACCACATCCAAAGATCTATGGAGTATGAATGCAGATCGAAGCAGACTATTTTCACTTTTTTTGTTGTTTTTTGTTTTTCTTTCTCATGGTTTTTCCATTTTGTGCCGATTCTTCTTTCACAACATGGCTAATGTGGAAATGTGTTTAACATGATTGTACATGTATAACCTATATCTGATTGCTTGCTGTCTTGAGGAGAGGGAAGGGAAAGAGGGAGAAAAATTTGGAAGTCAAAATTTTACAGAAATGAATGTTGAAAACTATCTTTACTTGTAACTAGAAAAAAATACTACTAAGGAAAAAAGGAATGATTGTCAATGGATTGATAACTGATTACCTAGTCCCTGATCTAGCCCTTCCAAAAAGAATTAGAGTCTCACTCCCTCGCTGAGTCTCTGAGGTTTCAGAGAGAAACTCTCAGTATCCGTCATGTCTTTTTTCAGTCTTTTTATCTTTCTTCCTGGTTGGTTATACAAATTACCCCAAGCTGGTTCTTGAAGATCTCCAAAAGGAATCAGGGAAGCATGGAGCCCAGAGTGCCCAGTGGCTCTTGCTCTGCACACATCCCTATGTTGGAACCCCTTACTACATGTCCATGCTATATAGCCACCATGAGGCATTTTGAATAGTCAATGAACCTTTGTCCTCTCTCATTTCTTAATCCTGAACCATACTTTTCAACATATCTTTTGCCTGCCTCCCCTTCTCCACCTTCCTGTTGATAGTGTCATTATATATGTTTATTGTGTTTACAAGAGTTTATAAAGTTCTTTATAGAATTTCTTTACCACTTTCTTTATCCCCTGCAATAGATATTGGTACAAATTGTCTCTTCAAGAAGGACCTATAAGTCACCTTCTACTTAGCTGCAACTTCCTTATATATTCTGACATGATTTGCAACAAGAACATCTATTTTAATAAGACTTAATTTCTTCAGTAATAATAATAGCTAGCATTTTTACATAACACCTACTATGTGCTGGGCACAGTGCTAAGTGTCTTAAAAATATTATCTCATTCAATACTCACAAGAACTTTGGAAGGTAGCTGCTATTATGTGCCCCATTTTGCAGTTGAGAAAACTGAGGCAGACAGAGATTAAGTGATTTACCCAAAGTCACACAGGTAGCAAGGGTGTCTGAGGCCAGATTGTGTGTGTGTGTGTGTGTGTGTGTGTGTGTGTGTGTGTGTGTGTGTGTGTGTGTTTAGGCAATTGGGGTTAAGTGACTTGCCCAGGGTCACACAGCTAGTAAGTGTCAAGTGTTTGGTCTGAGGCCAGATTTGAACTCAGGTCCTCTTGACTTCTGGGCTGCTGTCCTATCCACTGCACCACCTAGCTGCCACCTAGCTGCCCCCTGAGGCCAGATTTTAATTCAGGTCTTTCCTTACCCCAGGTGCAGTGTTTTGTCCCCTGCACCTCTAGCTGCCTTCAGTATTACATGGATTCATTGGGCACTGGAAAAAAGATCTCATTTTTAAGCTACCAACACTTGAATTAATATCTAAAGGTAGTCTAAAAGTTATAATACCTGGCCTCTTCTACTCTCTTTTCAAACTCTCTGCCACCACTGTTGTAGAGCAGAAGTGTCATAGAAGATAGAGGGACAATAGATAGGTTTCTTTGTTTCATGTATTTCCATGATCAGAGAATTCTTTATTTAATGACCAGCTTACTCAATACTTAGGAAAGCTGATTCTTGGATAGCAGACACAGTTTGTCTCAGGGACAATATTTGAAGCCTTTCAAATGTGAAAGACGTTGTCAGAGTTTGCCCTGTGATAGATAGGCTTGAAGAAACCAGAGTCACTGGGCAGCTAGGTAGAGCAGTGGACAGAGCACTGGATAGAGTTCTGGATAGAATCAGGAGGGCCTGAGTCTAAATCCAGCCTCAGACACTTAATACTTGACTAGTAGTGTGCCCCTGGGCAAGTCACTTTACCTTGATTGCCTCAAAAAATGAAATCAAAGTTTTTTCTGTGCCATGATGAGGCATCATAGTAGGATTTATCAGCACCTTGGAAACAATGCTGGGAAAAAAAAGTCACCGTGATGATCCTTTCAGGATTAAAAGTTATTTATCAATCAATCAACAAGCATTTATTAAATGCTGTCAGCTGGAGCAAGACAACTAAAATAGTGCCTGTCCACAAGGAACTTACATTGCAATAAGGGAAACAACATGAATTTCTATGTAGAATATAAATGAAATTAATGTAGGTTATGCAGGTGTGGGGAACCTGTGGCCTCGAGACCACATGTGGCCCTCTGGGTCCTCAAGTGCAGCCCTTTGACTGAATCCAAACTTCACAGCTTTTCATAAAAGGGTTTGTTCTATAAAATGTGGACTCTGTCAAAAGGCTGCACTTGAGGACCTAGAACACGACAGGTTCCCCACCCCACCCACTGGAGGCACAATTAACTGGGGGACCAGAAAAGGTTTCATGGGGAAGATGGACTTGAGCTAAACCATAAAGAAACCAGGAATTCCAAGAGGTAGAGGTGAAGGAGTGAATTCCAGAAATTGGGGACAGAAAGTACAAAGGCACAGAGAGCAGAGATGGAGATGTGTGTGTGTGTGTGTGTGTGTGTGTGTGTGTGTGCGCACGCACACATCTGTGTGTGTGTAGAATGGTGATTGCGATGATGTGAATGGATTGCAGAATGCAATAAAGGGAGTAAAATACAAGAAGACTGAAAATCCAGGAGATTGAAATGTCAGACAGAGTTCATATTTGATCCTGGGGGACAATAGGAAAGCTGCTGGAGTTTATTGGGTAGGAGTCATAACATGATCCACCTGTGCTTCAGAAAAGTCACTTTGGCAACTGTGTGAAGGATGGATTACAATGGGGAGAGGTTTGCGGCAGAAAAAAACAATTTTAGGCTGTTATAACAGTCTGGGCAAGCAGTGATGAGTACCTAAACTAGAGTGTTGGCTGCAGGAGTAGAGAGAAGGGGATGGATATGAGAGATGTTGTGGAGATAAAGATTTGGCAACTGATTGAATATACACGATAAATGAGAAAGAGGAGTTAAGGATGACATTTAGGTTGGGAACATGCATGAGTGGAAGGATAGTGGTGCCTTTGGAAAAAGAGAAAGTTTGGGGTGGAGGAGAGAGAAAATAATGAGTACTACTTTAAAGTTGAAGATGACTTTGGGGCATCCAGTTTAAACTGTCTAATAGGTGATTGGTAATGCAGGAGAGAGACTGGGACTGTTTATACAGATCTGGAATTCACTTGAGCTGAAGTGATGATTAAACTCTTGGAAGTTAATGAAAAAGAAAAGAAAAGAGGGTCCAGGGTACAGTTATAGTCTGTAGAATCAGATGAAGATGGAGAGGGAGTAATTGGACCAATAGGAGGAGACCTGAAAGGGTGGTGTCTTGAAAACCCAAAGAGGAAAGAGCACCCAGGAACAGGATTGTCAGCAATATCAAATGCAGCAAAGAGGTCAAGGAAGATGGGGGTTTTGGAGAAGCCATTAGACTTAGCAATTAGAAGATTGTTGGCAACTTTGGAGAGGGCAATTTCAGTTGAGCCACAAGGTCAAAGGCTAGTGGCACAGTGGATAGAGTACAGGTTCTGGAATTGGGAAGACATGGCTTCAAATTTAGTTCCAGACACTAGCTGTATGACCAGGGGCAAGTCATTTATCTCTGTTTGCCTCAGTTTTCTCATCTGTAAAGTGAGCTGGAGAAGGAAATGGCAAAATACTCTAGTATCTCTACCAAGAAAACCCCAAATGGGGTCACAAAGAGAAGATTGCAACCGAAAAGGACTAAAAGAAGAAGAGAAAGAGGAAAGGAAGTGGAGGTTCACCAACTGTGGGCAGCTCTTTCAAGGAGTTAGGCTGACTGCTTCTGTTATGATAAAAACCTAACTAGGGGCATAAAATATGCTTGGTTTCAAGCGACGCAAATCGAGTTCTAGACTTAGAGTCCAGAATATCTGTGTTCACATAGTGAATATCTTTCACTTTTTCACTTTGTGTTCAGAAATGTCTTTGACTCTTATAGGCTACATGGATATGGGCAAGAAAATACTATTATCTCTACTTTACAGCTGAGGAAACTGAGGCAGACAAAAGTTAAGTGAGTTGCCAAGGGTCTCGTAATTAATAAATATCTGGGGCTTGATTCAAACTCAGGTCTTCCTAACTACAGGTCCAGTCCTCCATCCATTTCACCACCTAGCTTCTGGGTAGTAATAAGATAAATAAAGTCTAAGATATTTGTACCACTTGTCTCATTTCTTTCTTTCTTTCTTTTTTTCAGACAATTGGAGTTAAGTGACTTGTCATTTAAGTCACACAGCTAGTAAGTGTCTGAGGCCAGATTTGAACTTCCTGACTTCAGGGCTGGTGCTCTATCCACTGCACCACCTAGCTGTCACCTGATTTCTTTATTTCTAAAGGTCTTCGATCCTATCTTCCCTCTTGTTTGAAATAACTAGAGAATATTGTACTGAAACATGGAATAATCTTCATACTTTAATATTGGCTTTTCAAAACTAGAGTTGAAAGGATTTTTCAATTAATATAGAAGTTTTTCAGAATATCCTGAAACTCTGAATAATCTGTACATGAATTAGCAAATCGTCTCAACAATATCTGGTTAAACAGCTTCTCTGCCTCCTCTAATTCCTGACCAAGTACAAATATAGACAAATAGCAGATTTAGGAAATCTAAGCTGTTCAGGCCAGGACAACACTCCCTAAGGCGTGATGTAATGTTGTCCCAACGGAAGCGTGGACAGCATCCACTCTAACGTTAGCATCCCCGGCAATGGGACAGAAAAAGAGATTTACAGATTGAGACAGAATATAAGCAGACAAACACATGACAAGAAGACACAGAAGGTGGAGAACAGGACCGTTTCCTTCAGTTTTTCTCCCACAGCCTGGTAAGAACCTATACTATATAACCGGGGAATAGTTGAACAAGTTGTGGTATATGATTGTGATGGAATACTACTGTGCTGTAAGAAATGATGAACTCAATGATGTTAGAAAAACATGGATAGATTTGTATGAAATAATGAAGAGAGAAATGAGCAGAACCAAGAGAACATTGTATACAGTAACAGCAATATTGTCGTAAGAACAACTTTGAGCAAATAAGTCATTTTGACTATTATAAATGCCCAAATTAATTAAAAAGAACCTATGAAGGAAGACCCTATCTGCATCTAGAGAGAGAATGGATAAATAGAAGTATAAAGAGAATGAATTTACATATATATACATACACATATTTATGTCTAATGATAGCCATCTCTAGGGTCGGGTGGGGAAAGAGAAAGGAAAAAATTTACATGATAACTTGATTATATTTAAAATGAATAGAAGTTGCACATAATGGATTTTCATTTTCACATGTATCATCTTTTTTTATTATCCTGTGTCATGAAAATGCTTGTTTTATTCCATAAATTAAAAATAAAATAAAATCTAAAAGAAAAAGAAGAAGAACCTATATACTCACTGTCAAAGTTTTTTTTAGGTAAAGGTTAAATTGTGTTGGTTGTTCCTTTATGTCCCCTCATCCTAACTCTTCCCCTTCTTACTCTCTATCCCCATGGTAAATAAGTAGTCTAATGGATAGGGTTCTGGACTGGGAGTCAGGAAGAACTGAGATTAGATCCCTCTTACTAGCTGTGTGATCCTGGGTCAAATCACTTAACTTCTCAGCCTCAGTTTCCTCTTCAGTTAAAGTGGAGCTAATAATAGCACCTACTTCACAGGATTGATATGAGGATCAAAGGAGATGACAGACATAATGTGCTTTGTAAACATTAAAGGGCTTCATAAATGCTAGCTATTATTATTTCAAGTACAGTTGCAGCCTTCAGTTTCTGTGTCTTCTTTGGGCTTCTAGTTTTGAGAGAGAAAATGGATGGTGCCAATCCCACTTCAGGCAGATAGATGAAGGAAGAAGACCGGGAAGAAACTTATATGAGAGGAGCTAGTCATCTCTGTCATGTCCCTCTCCCCAGTTTGCTATAGTAGAGACTTTGGAGAATTTCCCCTCGGGTGAAATCTGGGACTCCCTTGGTTAAGCTGAGTTATCACACTCCCAATGAGAGAGTTTGCTTACTCCATTCCTTGGTATATATTGTCCCATCTATACTTTCTCTGCTTCTCTTTTGCTCTCACCTTGGATAAATAGGTTTCTTAACACTTAGATTTAACAACTATGTATAAGGTACTGGATAAGCCAACAGCACTCTCAATGGATATCTTGGCAACAGTAAGGCTAGTACAACTTATTATTAACTCTGGCTGGGATAGCTGAATACGAAGAGTCAATTTTGCTTTTGGTAACCCATTTTTTAAGAACAATTAAGAGGAAACTCCAAAATTTTGTAATTGGTTAGTCAGCTAGGTGTGCCCTAAGCCTGGACTTGAGTTCAAATCTAGCTTCAGATACTTACCAGCTGTGTAACCTAGGACAGGTAGGTCATTTAACCTATGTTTGCCTCAGTTTTCTCATCTGCAAAATAGGGACAATAATAGTACCCAACTCCCAGGGTTATTGTGAGGATCAAATGAGATAAAAATTGTAAAGTGCTTAGTGCCTGGCACATAATAAGTGTTGTATAAAAGCTATTATCATCATCATCATCATCATTAGTGGGATAACACAGTTCAGCTCAAGCAAGTTGAAGTTTCCTCCAGTTTATCCCAGACCAGCATCCCAAACCACTATCATTTGATTCTAGGGGCGATATTCTCAAAAATAGAAGTAGCAAAAAGAGGCAGGTGTGTATATTCACTGGGGGAGGGCAGGGGGCTCTACTTGTTCATATCTGTCACCAGGCACAGAAAGGCAGCTGTGCATTCCCTTGTACAGGGAAAGCACACAGGGTTATAATCTTTCCTTCCAGAAGTTCCAACAGCCTTTGTCCAAAACAATGCCACAAGGCCAATGTATCCTGGTGAGCATTTGCTTTTTCTTTAAAGTATTCCTATTTCTTCAGGTGATTATTTTATTGATAATGAGGGACACCTGTGGACTTACCTGGCAATAGAACTTCTGTCATTGCTTGGAGTAGGGGAAAACCAACTAAAAATCCAGTAGTTCAGACTTATTTTGCAATATCGCTGTAACCAGAAGTTGAGTTTCATTTTATAGGCATGGGATTTTTATATTTTTCAATCTTCAGCTTATTCAGTTTTCTCTGTTCCTATTCTTCTTCAACTGCTAACTTCACAACAACTTGTTTGAGGATTCTCCCCCAGGGATTAACAGCATTTGGCTCGTTTGAATGGTGGCAAAGTTGGACATAGTTCCTCAGAGCACTCATCACAAAGGCTCAATTTACTCTGTAGCAGAAGTTCATGCTCAGTTGGAAGTGTTTGGAAGTCTGATTTTTGAAGCCCACTTTCAAGGATGCAGAGTATCTCTTGTGCCCCTTTGTTTACTGATGAACTTGCAGTTTGCTCACGGTCCATAGAGGAGAGTTGAGTTGTTTTTGGTCTGACTTTGAATGAAAGGTTTTCTAAGACTAGTTAGTAAAGCCACATTGATTTCATTCTAACACACATCCTACCACTTAAGAGGATGACTGTGACATTGTTTTTCAAAATCTTGAGCAGATTTTCTCTTTAAGACTACTCTCTAATTGCCAGTAATAACAAGAAAAATAATAATTTAAACAGACATCCTAGCAAAATGGATAGAGAGCTAGGCTTGAAATTGGACCTAGATTCAAATCTAGCCTCTGATAGTTATCCAGGGTGATAAAGTCATAGTGTAATCTGACTTTCCTGGGATACAGAAAATCTCTTCGTAAGGTTCTTCTTTTTTTCATTTTTCAACACCAAATAGGTTAATGTTTTTATAGTTTCTTGAAAGCAAGGACTGTTTTGTTTCCTTTTCCCCCAATCTAGCACAGTGTCTAGAATCTAGAAGGTACTTAATAAATGTGTGTTCAATTGGATTTTTGCCAATAGTTCAAGATACACAGCTGCTGTAGTCAGTGTCAGAATTTATTTTATTTTCTCTATCACAAAATATAGATTGTGAGACACCTGTAGGGTCACCAGCAAGGGGGCATTTAACCAGCTTCATGGTTATATTATCACAGAATCATGAGTCTAGAAAGAACCTCAGAGGATAGGTAGTTCATACCTCTTCGATTTTGGAAGAAGAAATTGAAATCCAGCAAGGTTAAGTGATTTGTCCAAGGTCACACAATTAATATGTACCAGAGGCAGGGTTTGAACCTAAGTTCTTTGACTCTCAGCCTGGTTTCTCCATAGTATCAAGCTTCTGCCCAATCAGAGACTTCTTACTGATGTGGCCAGGTGTTTTCTTTTTTTTTTTAATTTTGCTTTTCTGTTGTTGTAGGCACTCAGTTCATCCCTAGTGCCAAGTTAATGTTATTAATAAGAATTCCTCTTTCCTCTTCCCCAAGTCTGAACTACAAAAGATGACACATCCTTATACTCTATGTTGCAGAAAACATCCCCCATGTAATACAGGAGAATTGGAAAAAGGAAAACCAGATGATGCACAGGGGGTGAAGGTACAGATGAAACAAAGTATCACCTTATTGGCATCTCTCTAATAGTGGGAAACATGATAGGTTCTGGGATATTTGTGTCTCCCAAAGGAGTTCTGAAGCACAGCAGCTCTTATGGACTCTCCCTGGTTATTTGGCTTTTTGGAGGGGTTTTTTCATTATTTGGAGCTCTGTGTTACGCAGAGCTGGGGACCATGATCATTAAGTCTGGAGCAAGCTATGCCTACATCTTGGAAGCCTTTGGTGGTTTGGTAGCATTTATTAGACTGTGGTCATCTTTACTCATCACTGAGCCGACGACACAGGCTGTCATAGCCATTACATTTGCTAATTATATTGTTCAGCCCCTTTTCCCACACTGTGAGCCTCCATATGCGGCTGTCAGATGGATCGCAGCTGCCTGCGTATGTGAGTACCATACAGTGTTATCTTTGTTACTTTTATAACTTTGCTTTATTTATTGAAGGTGATTTCATGGACCATTTTTGAAACTTCCTTAGTCAAAGATTTCTAATTATTGAGATAAACTCACAAGAAGGAGCAGGGCACAGGGGATAAAAGGATGACTCACTCTCTCAGTGCCCTGGGTAAGTCCAGCAGGTACCCATGTCAACAGAAGTGCCTTATAGGAAATTCCTTATCTTTTTTTTTTTAGACAATTGGGGTTAAGTGACTTGCCCAGGGTCACACAGCTAGTAAGTATCAAGTGTTTGGTTTGAGGTCACATTTGAACTCAGGTCCTCCTGACTTCAGGGCCAGTTCTCTATCTACTGCACCACCTAGCTGCCCAGGAAATTCTTATCTTGATGAAATCACAAGTCCAGTCAAAAACCAAATCTCACATCTATATAGAATTATGAAGTTTAAGAGGCACTTTCTTCACAGTGCCCTTCTGAGGTATTTAGTACAAATAATTCTTATTTTATAGGTTGGGAAACTGACATGTGAATTTTTTTTTTTTGCCCATGATTACACAGAAAGTGTCAGAGCTCCGGATATGAGCTCCAAACCCAGTATCCTTTCCATTTTGCTTTTCACTTACATTGGGCCAATTCACATCTGAAAATACAAATTTATACACAAAGTAACTTGTAGCCAAAATCTATTTATTCCTCCAGAAAGCCACATTTATTTATTTTAGATGTATCCACTCAGAAGAATGTTAATAATGAAGGTATGATGCAAAAACGTGTCATATTACTTTTTTTCTGAGAACCAGTTGTTAAACATTTACTAGTACATCCCTGGTTGCAGAGGACTAGGTAGATAGTGATAGTGATGAGAAGAAGAAGGAGAAGAAGAAGAAGAAGAAGAAGGAGAAGAAGAAGAAGAAGAAGAAGAAGAAGAAGAAGAAGAAGAAGAAGAAGAAGAAGAAGAAGAAGAAGAAGAAGAAGAAGAAGAAGGAGAAGAAGGAGGAGGAGAAGAAGAGGAGGAGGAGGAGGAGGAGAAGGGGAGAGAAGAAGAAGAAGAAAAGAAGAAGAAGAAGAAGAAGAAGAGAAGAAGAAGAAAAGAAGAAGGAGAAGAAGGAAGAAGGAGAAGAAGGAGAGGAGAGGAGAGGGGAGGAGGAGGAGGGAGGAGGAGGGGAGGAGGAGGAGAGGAGGAGGAGGAGAAGGGAGAAGAAGAAGAAGAAGAAGAAGAAGAAGAAGAAGAAGAAGAAGAAGAAGAAGAAGAAGAAGGAGAAGAAGGAGAAGAAGGAGGAGGAGAAGAAGGAGGAGGAGGAGGAGGAGGAGGAGGAGGAGAAGGGGAAGGAAGGAGAAGGAGAAGGAGAAGGAGAAGAAGAAGAAGAAGAAGAAGAAGAAGAAGAAGAAGAAAGAAGGAGGAGAGGAGGAGGAGGAGGAGGAGGAGGAGAAGGAGAAGAAGAAGAATAAGAAGATTTATGAAACATTTTTAAAATACAAAGAAGAGAGAAGAAGGAAGTTCAGGAGGGAACACAGAAAAGCAGGGCGGTTTTTTTATTATGATGTTTGGTATTTTTACTTTAAAAAACAATATGTAATAGAAGTTCACAGTTTAGTAAACAATCCTCTTCTTTTTATATCGAAACTTTCATGTTTGTTAAGTTCATAGTAAAAAAAATTTTTTAAGAAAATATTATGAAATAGAATATAGTAGCTCTGATCTAAAGATGTTTCAGTTGACAGTTTCCTGGGTTAGTAGGTAATGAAACTGGGACAAGAATCTAGGTCTCCTGACACCCAGCTCTATCCCAGATTGCATTCATGTGTACTATGAATTTGTCTCACTCTGACATCTGAGAATATTTATTAATTGGAAGAGGGAGCTTCTGATGTTGGCTCTTGTTTCAACTTAGTAACAGGTCTTGGGAAAGTATTTTAGCTTCTGCTTTAAGTTCTATCATCAAACAGAATTCCAATTTCTCCTTGGTTTCCCCACAGATGATTAACTATAGCAATACAAAAAAAAAATCTCTGTAAGACTTATGTAAACAACATACACAACAGTGACTCCATCTGGACCCACATTCAAGGACTGGATTGAGTTTGGGGTTTTCTAGTCCCTAAAGTGAGGAGTCTGGTTCTTTATTCCCTTTTGCAGAACCCTCAGGAGAATCACTTGAAGTTTAGGTTTAGCTCATGACTAGGGTTGCCCCTACATTGCCAAGTGGTGGGAATAATAAAAGGCAAAAAAAGACAGTCCCTACCCTCATTAGAGGCTTTGCATGGGTATTGTGACCTGTAGCACCACAGAGCAGCTGTGAAGACATTCTCTTCATAATCCAAGTATTCCCCAAGGACATACTATATTAATGCATTTTTTTTTACATTATGAGGCTTAGAATTGTTTTCATCAAGTCATGGTATCATACAGCTTGTATTCATATGTCATAAGATGAATTCTGCCCAGTTTGGTTCTAATTATTTGAAGATTATATAGATCATAGTTCTGGACCAAACAAGCCTCTTAAATTATTTGTGTAAAACTGTTAGTTTGGGGATTTTAAGATAGGGGGATTTTCAAAGGCTGCAGCCAAAATATACTGTTGGGCACTGAGAATGTTGTAAAGGGGTGCTGCTATGAAGTTTCCAACAGTTTGTTGTAGGGGAGAGAACACTGAATTTGGAATCAAAGGCGTGGGTTCAAATCTCACAATTGCTACTTGATAGCTTAATAGCAAGCCATTTAAACTCTGTTTAAAGCTGTCTAATCTGTAAAATGAAGAGTTTGGGCTGTGAGAGATACTGTCTGGTCTACAAAGATCTTCAGGTGTACTTAATTAAACTCTAGACAGGTGGTGTACATATCTAGTGGATAGAGTGCTAGACCTGGAGTTAGGAAGACTTGAGTTCAAATTCAGCCTCAGACATCAGCTGTGTGACTCCAGGTAAGTTATTTAATCCTGTTTGCCTCAGCTTCCTCATCTGTAAAATGCACTGGAAAAGGAAATGGCAAATCACTCCTGTATCTTTGCCAAGAAAACCCCAAATGGGGTCATGAAAAGTAAAATACAACTTGAAAAACAACTGAAACATTGGCCTATAAGATTGATGAGCTTTTAAATCACAGAATAAGTATAGTACTAAGCATCTTACATATTGCCCTTTTTTCTAAATTTGTGACACATTGATGAGATGATCTCTAAGGTCCCTTCCAACTCTAAAATCTCATGGTGCTATGGCTCTATTAATAATCTTAGGAGTATTGCATTTGTGGGCATGTGGCATTACTCCAGCTACTGGGGGGGTGGAGATGACTAGGGGAGGTAAGTAAGGAGACCAAAAAACCCTAGAGAAAGAATAATTACTTTGATAGACATGCCTCAGAACCTTACTAGCTGTATGATCCTGAAAAAGTTGCTTAACTTGTCTTAGCCTCAGTTTCCTCATCTCTAAAATGATGATAATAAAAACACCTCCTACCCAGGGTTGTTACGAGGATCAAAGGAGATAATATATGTAGAGTACTTTGCTAACTTTAAAATCATATATATATGTTAAGCAGCTCCTGTTTCTTTTGATTTATTGCTTTTAAAAAAGCTGACAATTCTACATTTGTCATTTTAAGAGTTTTCATTGAAATATGACTGATTAGCACAATGTTCTGTTCCATAAAGAGACAGCTTTGTAGTAGTAGATAGGGTGCTGGACTTGGAGTCAGAAACACCTAGGTTCAAATCAGGAGTATGATGAGCCAGCTTGAACCAGCTCCTAAGAGCCAATTGTTAAAAATTTTAGTGTGAACATTTGTACCTTGGAATTTAGCAAATATAAAGGCTTGATTTATTGTTTTACTGATTACCTAGATTTAGGAAGGTGTGGAGAAAATGTCAATAATGCAGATTAAACTTAAAAGTGAGTTGTGCATATATGTATTTTTTTTTTCCAGGAGAGCCATTTGTTAAACATTTACCAGCACACTCCTGGTTCAAATCCTGCTTCCAGCACCTAGAAAGGGCAATTAATCATTTACTGTCTCTGAACCTCACTACATCCTAGAGTTGTTGGGAGACTTTACTGAGATAATCTATTCATTGTACCTTACAAAATATACATTATACCTACATCAATTTGTAAGCAAGGAGGATTTTTGTTATTCTTTTTAGATAATAGGTTCCAGGATCCTCAGCCAAAATAGATAGTATTTCCCACGAATTATGGTTGGAAACAACTTCTACCTAGACTGCGCAATAGAGATATAGGGATGACACAATGTGATATATACTACACCTGTGCTGTGCTAGGTGACAACAAGATTGCTAAAGTTAACTGTGAACTTAATGTTGGCAAATTGCCTTCTTTTGTGCTTCTTTTCAGAGAGCACTGATCAGTGAGTGGGGATTTGGGGAATGTGGCAGTGTAATGCTGCGCTTGCCTCAACTGGCCCCCATTGAGGCTTAGGGGGATTGGGGGGGAGTACACAAGCTGGAATGCTGTGCCTGTCTCAACTGGCCCCCATAGAGACACAGGGGTTGTTGCCCCCCCTTCTCACCAGCCCCTGCAAGAAGGGTGATTAGGGGGTGCTGTGGACGTTGATGCTTCCATTATCAGCAACCCTCTTGAGAAGACTAGACTAGAATAAAGCAAGCTTATTTGACTCTTCCGAAGCTGTCTTCCTGTCCTGGCTGCCTAGATCAAGAGTGAGCCTGTTAGAGGCTGGAGTCCAAAAACTTCAGTGTTGTTACTTGTGTTGCACAATTATATTTACATTTTCTCCACAGCTGCCTTAAGCTTTTTTTATTTCCTCCATAGGTTCCTTAACATTCATTAACTGCATCAACGTGAAGCGGGGAACCAGAGTGCAGGATATTTTCACATATGCCAAGATTTTGACCCCTCATCCTGATCATATCTGTGGGTATCTACAAAATTTGTAAAGGTAAGGAAAGAAGGTTGAATGTGAAGATGTGAGTAAACAAAATCAAATATGTATGTAGAATAATTAAAAGAAGAGTAATAGAAAAGTCAAAATTAGAAAAATTATGATACGTATGTTATTCCTGAGGATCTTCAGGACCCCAGTTCACTCATTCTTGAAGGAGATTCCTTACTGAGAGTTCCCTAAATTAATTAATTCAGAGATCCAGATTAAAAAATTAAAAAATAAAAACCTGCCTACTGTATGCAAGGTACTGTATAGGCTACAAAACCTTTAGGAGTATTTTATTAGCCTATAAATTTAATGAACTAAAATTACAGCATTGATTGTCTTATACTACTACCCCTCCCTTTTGAAGCACAAAAACTATACAACTTGAGTCATGCTAAGATCCGTTCACAAAGATTAAGGGAGTCAAAACTAGATAAGGCCACTAGGACTTTGCCTTAGGGTGAAAAATTTAGATGGCACAAAAACGTAATACAAGTACTCCGGAGTTAAGGGGAGCAGAGCTCAGACTGGCCAAGGGAAGGGGGTGAGGCAAAACCAAAAAGGAGGTTTGTTTCTAGGTTGCTATGGAGTCCTGGACCGAAACTTCTTCACTCCCACCCTCCTTGCTCATCCCATAAACAGATCACCAACTAGCCCTTTCCTGCCCATTCCCTTCCTCAGGGCTTCCTTTACCTTCTCTTCTGCTCTCCCTCCACTAATGCCTATATTTTCCCTCAAGAAAGGTAAATAATAATAATAGCAAAGCCAACTTCCTGCCCTAGGCTTTGAGGAAGGGAGCCTCTTTGGAAAGCCTCTTCTTTTTTTCTATTTAAATTTGTTTTTCTAATTTTGAGTTCCAAATTCTCTTCCTCCCTCTGGCCTTTCACTCTCCCATTGAGAAGGCAATTAATACCCTTTATACATGTGAAGTCATGCAAGACATAATTACAAACCATCCATATTGAAAAAAAAAAAAAATGAGAAAAATAAAGTGGGAAAAGATAGGTTTTGATCTACATTCAGAGTTCATCAGTTCCCCCTCTGGAGATGGATAGCATTTTTCATCCAGAATCCTTGTATTGGTTAATTATCTAAGTCTTTCACAATTAATCATCATTAATAATATTGTTACTGTAACCAATGTTCTGGTTCTATTACTTTACTTAGCATCAGTTCATATAAGTCTTCCCAGTTTTTTCAGAATCCATCCCCCTTGTCATTTCTTAGAGCACAATAGTCTTCTATCAAAATCATATGCCACAATTTGTTTAGTCATTTCCCAACTAATGGACATTAGGGAAAGCCTCTCTGATGGAGTAAAAATAACATCAAATCCCATAGATTGGACAGGATGACATCTAGAGCTCTTTCCAATTCTGAGATTCTACCCTCTAAGTCACTTTGATAACTGATTTTCTCTCCCACCCAACCAAATTTGTCTTACTTGTTCCTTACATTATTTTCACATCATGAATCACAAAGTTGGTTAGTGTGCTATTTGTCCCAGTTGGCTCTTCTTGTCATAGAACTTGAAATCACTAGTTATGCCTCTGAGTATTAATAACACCTGCAAAGAACACATTGATATAAAGATGGTTGTTGTAGAAAGCTCGTTGGACCTGGCATCAAGAAAGTTGGGTTCTAGGCCTGATTCTGTCATTATCTGTGTATGTCTTGGGGCCAGTTACTTCCAAAATTTGGGCTGCCAGTTCAGGCCTGACTTCGTGTTTGCCTCTCTATCTACTGCATCACCTACATGTCTCTGGATGAAAAATCTTTAGACAAAAAATAAGTTTAGAAAAGGCTAGTAAAAAAAAATCATGTGTTTAAGGAAACTGTCTGCAAGTTGTACTGGAGAGAATACTAGATTTGGAGTCAGCAAAGCCTGGAGTCAAATGTCTGTTCCACCTCAAACATTTACTAGCTGTGTGAGACTAGGCACATCAGTTTACTTCTCTGGGCCTCAGTTTCCTCACTTGTAAAATGGAAGATAGGATTTAATGACCTTTAAGGTAAATTCAAGTAGTAAATCTCTGATCTTATTCTATGATTGCTGATTATTTGTGATACAGTATCTATGCTTTAGGATCAAGTGGACAGCTGTAGTTCTCTGCTTCTGAGGGACAAATATGGAAGAAAAGTATGAAAGCATAGCATGATCCTAATAGAACTGTGTCACGAGTTGAGGCTGACAAAGAATGGTATAGTCAAAATAAACATATTTTTGAGCTATACTGAGTAAAAAAAAAACAGATAAAAAAATTCCTCAGAATCATTGCTCTGAGTAAATGAGACAATGATAACCGACAGTATTGGTTTTTTGGTTTTTCGGTTTTTACCAAGAATGAATTTAAACTAGAATAGTACTAAAATCGCTAATGCAAAGTTGAGACCCTAGTTGGAAAATAGCAAAGAGGACCTAAGTTCACTGGTGAATTTGAGTCATCAGGCCCAGATGACCTACATTCCAGAGTACTGAAAGAACTGACAGATGCAGGTATTATTCTGGCTGGGTCTGAGGAGGAAGGGGAAGAATTGGAGGGAGAGGGGTCACATTATTTTTATATTTGCTGTTGTTGTTGAGTTGTTCAGTCATGTCCAACTCTTCATGACCCCATGGACCATAGCAGGCAAGGTCCTTCTACTCACCACTCTTTTTCAAAGTCTGTCCAAGCTCATGTTCGTTGCTTCTATGACACTATCTATTCAACTCATCCTCTGCCAACCCCTTTTCCTTTTGTCTTCAATCTTTCCCAACATCAAGGTCTTTTCCAATGAGTCCTGTCTTCTCATTACATGATCACTATGTGAATTAATTTCTTTAAGTATTGACTGATTTGATCTCCTTGCAATTCCAAGAGACACTCCAAAGTCTTCTCCAGCAACACAATTCAAAAACATGTTTCCAAATATTCCATGTGGGCATAGCCAAGACAAATTACATTTCCTTAGTCTCCTACCTCTTTCCAAATGAAATCTACCTGGAAAATGAGAGGATTAGACAGATGATTTCTAATTTCCCTTCCAAATTTAGGCCCTATGATCATATAATTTCAATTCTGCTATTAGGATTGTTGCTGTAGGATATGGGGAATTGCCCTAACCTTTGCAGTAAGGTGATAAAACATATGTTTTACCTGTATTTTTACAAATTCTATCTTATCTCTTTGATTGACTTTCTTGAACCCCCTATAAAAATCAAATATATACAGTGGATAGAACTCTGTCCTTGGAGTCAAGAAGACATGAGTTCAAATCCAGTCTCAGATACATGGCACTTACTAGCTGTGTGACCCTGGGCAAGTCACTTAACCCCGACTGCCTCACCAAAAAAAAAAGAGAAAAAATCAAACATATATTTGACACACATATTATACATGTGATATAAATAATATGCATAATATGTTTTTTGTGTATTGACCTAAACATATTCACTAAGACAAAGATATTCAGTTCTCTCATTGCCTTTTCATAGGGCCATGAGTGTAATGGCCAGAAATAGTTAATGTACCCCTATGATAGGACCAGGTCTTTTTAAAATCCTAGGGATTAATTTTCCCTAAAAGAAACTAAGTTGTCCCTGGGACTTAATTGACCCCTGCTTTCCTTGACATAGCTTCCTAGTCACCTGAAGTCATAAAAATTCCCATTCATGTGGATTTGATGCCCCTCTGACTCTCTGATATCTGAAGATCATCATACCTTGTAACACCTTGCTGTATAATGATAAAGAAAACCACCCTACTTTTTTTTACTTTGCCAGTGTTCAATAACTTGTGGGTGCCTCATTTCATCCCAACATGGAACCTGAGCTAACTGGGTCCTAGCAGTAGACTGTATGACCCTGGTTAAGTCACTTAACTGCTCTCTGAATCAGTTTCCTCATCTGTAAAATGGGAATTATAATAGCACCTATTTCACAGGGTTTTTGTGAAGACCAAATGAGATAATATTTGTAAAGTGCTTAGCACATTGCCTGGCACATAGCAGATGCATGATAAATGCTTATTTCTTTCCTTTCTTTACTTATTCCTTCACTTCACACAGATATCAGATGGAAAAGTATTTTCTTATACCAAAAGACTGACTTATTAAATTATTGTAGGAGAAACAGATAATTTTAAGGATCCATTTGAAGGTTCCACCAGTGACCCAGGACCTATGGCACAAGCTCTGTACTCAGCTCTTTTTTCCTATTCTGGATGGGATACACTGAATCTTATCACTGAGGAAATGAAGAATCCTGAAAGGTACTGTACCTACAATTATATAAAAATCTGAAACGTAGAATTCCCCAAATAGTAGCCACTATGATAATAATATTATAAGAAAATCCAAGGAAACTCCCAATTGTTTGATTGTAATAAATTTTGTTAATGAATTAATTGATAGATATGTTTATAATAAAAATAAATTACATCCAGTATAAGAAATATATGGTAAAGATACTTTAAAATGGTTTTTAATAGAAATCAACATCTGAATAAGTAAAGACATATCCTGCAATTATAGGTAGGCAGAGTCAGAAATATCACAGGGTGACCAGGGATTTACCCCAGATGCCAACATTGGCATCTTCTTGTCCTCAGGGTTATACATCTTCCCTTTATCCTTCCAAACTCCTGTCCTCCCAAGAACACTAGTCACCTGACTGGTTCTTTCCCTCCTTGGCCAACTCGCTGCTATTCCCTAGCATCATTTCTCCATGATGCCTCTATCCTGGGGCCCACCATCCCACCACCCACAGGGGTTATCTCTGATAGGTTCTGTGAGAGCTCATACAACACAGAACATTCAGAATTAGTGCAGAATAAACATGTGTGGAGGGGAATCAACTGTCATCACGTTCCCTTCTAACCCTCACAGGATCTATAATCCTCTGCTCTCCCTTTCTTCTCTGAGCTCTGACCTATTACCAAGTTCTTCTTTGTTCTATACACCTTCCATTCACATTTCTTCCATCTTCTCATGTGTCACTGAAACCTAGCCTTTTCCACTAGACACCACATCTTTTGGAATCTTCTCTAAGGCTGGCTCTTCTTTCTCAAAAACCCCCTCTCTAACGCAGGAAGATTTGATATACTTCTCCTTCCTAAGTTACCATCATTCAGCAACCATCTCTCCACCTTTTCAAGGTAACTCAGTCAGTACAGATCCTTGTTATAATTCCTAATTATGGCTCTGTGGTTGGATTAAAGAAATATAGTAAAAATGTCAATAACACCAACCAAAATGGGCAAAATATCAAGAAAAAATTGAAAAGAGTTGTGCTATAAATCAGCAATTAGTTTTATAAAACTTGCCTAGTTTTAGAAAAATAGATCAATGGAATGGAATACAAAACTCAGAACTAGAATTTGGCATATATGAGTTGACAAACCCTCATCTAAAAAATGCCAAGGAATGGAATCAATTCAGTAAAAATTATTGGCTACATTGACTGGGGGTATAACACACACAAAAAAGTTTGAATTTATGCCATTCCTTCTAAATAATAAATTCTAATTGGATCCACAATCTGAATGTTAAAAAAAAAGCCAAAATCTCAAACAAAAAGAAATTGTATATTTGTTTCAGTTGATAGGCTCCATGACATGAAGATAAAAGAATATTATTGAAGGAAAAAATATCTAAAATTAAAAGAAAATATATTGTGGAAAGATATGTAGTAAATATACAAGATGAAGATCTAACATCTAGATTTTATAAGGAAATAACACGTCTATAAGAGTGGATAATACACTGTGTAATGGAGAATTGAACAAAGGATATGAGCAGTTTTTACAGGAGGAAAATTCCAGTACTAGAAATTATATGCTATTAGACTTTTTGCTGGCTATTAGGTGCCAACTGCCTCTTACCATCAGCTTTTCCTGATCCTCTCCCTGTCCATGCAGTGTCCCTTATTTTTAATGCATACTACTAAGATTCTTTTCGTATCTGTGCATGTGTTGTATTCTCCCCTTCAACCCTGGCCAAAGGGAATATAATCTTCTTCAAGAAGGGGATGATTTCTTCTTTGCACCCACCCACTTGAAACAAAACAATTTATTCAATAAACACTGACTCAGAGCCTACTATTTGCATAAGGCTCTGTACTAGATGCCATAAGAGTCACAAATGAAACAATCCCTTCCTTCAAAGGACTTACATAGTAAATGCTTAATCAATGTTTGTTGAGTTAAGTTGCAGGCATCAAGTTCCCGAACTTGTTTTTGTCATGATTTTGGGTCAGCAGGAGGCCATGATTTAAAGGTAGAGTGGTAGAAGGAATACTGATTTGTGAGTCAGAAAACCTAGGTTCTAATTCCGTATCTACTAATTACTACATGTTGCCTGTATGACCTTTCAAAAACCACCTACCCTCTTTGGACCTCAGTTTCCTCGACTGTAAAATGAAAACAGGGGATCTCTAAGGTCTCTTCCAACTCTAAATCCTGTGATCCCATGTTGCAATTTTTTTCTTTAATGTCATAGTAACACAAACAAGATAGACTTAGAAATGATAAAAAGGGTCACTAGTTCTGATTTTCTGTGCCTCATTAAGATAGTCCTACTGATATTTCCAGGCCCAGGTGCTCATGTGACATGGACTGCTTCATGGGTTAATTAGTTTCCTATCTTACAAGTCTTACAGCAGAAGTTGGATAACCATGTCACAAGCATTAAAGACTGGATTTATGATTTAGGTAGAAATTAGTTAACATGTCCTCTGAGGTTGTTCCTGACTCTATCGTTTTATGATTCACAGGCCAAAGAAAATGGGCCATAGTAGGTCAAACTCATCTTTCGATAATGCCTGATCATACTGGGATGATATGTTCTTGGCCTCAGTGGTCCTCTATAAGCCAGAGTGCTTTGTAAACTATTCAGCGCTATAGAAATGTATGCCATTACTAAGAGTTCAACTGGTTGACCAAGTAACTAGGAGTATGTTTATATAAGAATGAACAGCTTAGCAGAGAAGTGGTACATATGACTGTGGCCATAGTGTCTTATTATGAGATCTTGGTTTATCTTGCTTTAGAACTTTTGTTTTACGAATAAAAGCCTTCTTGTTGATTATTGGTCAGGCACTCAAGTCATTTTCTTAGATCAAATACTTTTTGTTGGCTGTTAGTGGTCTATTTCTGGTCTTAACTTAGCTGTGCTGTATCCAGTGCATGCAGTTTAAGAGAGCTATTTTAAATGTTCATTGTGAACATTTATACCTCAGAAATCAGCAAATGCTACAGATCTGGGCTTGATTTACTCTTTTGTTGATTGTCTGGAGCCAGGAGTGGGGAACCTGTGACCTGAAGGCCACATGTGGTCCTCTAGGTCCTCCAGTAAGGCCCTTAATAAAAGGATTTACTCTGTAAAACTTGGACTCAGTCAAAAGGTTGCACCCAAGGCCCTAGAAGGCCACATGTGGCCTTGAGGCCACAGGTTCAGCACCCCTGCAGTCTAGACTTAAAGGAGTTATGGATAAAATGTTAATTTAATGCAGATTACACTTTAAAGTGCATTGTGTGTATATTTTCCCCCAGACATTTACCAGCACATCCTTGAAGGAAGAATATTTCGGTTACCTGTATAACTTTGGGAAGGTCACTTAACATTCCTGGCCTCAGTTTCCTCAAGTGTAAAATGAAAGTGTTGAACTAGATGGCCACTAAGGTCCCTTCCATCTATGAATCTCTGATCCTATGCTCTTAATGTAGAATAAAATGGAAACAGCAGCCTTTGTAGACTTCACTTTAACATATGGTGTAGTAGGTAAACATTTTTTGGCATTTTTGGTAATTTCATAATTGCATCAATCCATTCCATTTGTCTCAGTGTCCTAATATAACTTCTCTAAAATAACTTCATCATGAGATTCATTCTGACAAATTATTTCTCAATGAGTTTCACTTTTCAGAAACATGTTTATTTGCCTCTTATTGTTGTGCTGTTTTATTCTCTCTCTTTTTTTTTAATAGACATTTGGTAATAAGGTCTTCAACTATGCTCAGTGGCTAATTCCTCTTGCAGTCGCCATGTCTGGTTTCAGTGGATTAAATTCATCAATCATTGCAGCTTCCAGGTAGGAAAAGCTCAAGGTGTCCACAAAATGCCACCCTTACCTGCCTCCCCTAGCCTTTGGGGATCTTGCCCTTACCTGAACCTTTAACCTATTGTTTATACTTATTTTTGTTATTCTAATTTAGTGCAGTTGTTTGTCAGTTCCCACACATATAGAGACTCCTCCTCTCTCCAAATCTACTAGGAGAGCAATCACCTCCTCATTTATCTTTCCATCTCTCTAACAGGTAGCAGTACCTTGAACAAAATGGGCATTTACTAGAACTTGAATATCCCCAGTAAGGTTTTTTGTTTTGTTTTTAAAGCTAATCTAACAGAAATTGACAGCTCCTAATATTGCATCACATTAACTGAACAAAAAGGGGCAAAGCACATAAAGGTTTGGTCATGTTTTATGTTGCAAACTTGGGGGGGGAGGGGGGGAGGGGGGAAGGGTGGCTTTCAAAAGAAGGAACATAATCAATAAGTGCTAGGAAGTGTTCATGCCCCTCTTCTGTTCCATGTGACTGTGACCCTCATGAAAACAGAATCTAAAAACAGATTTTCCTTTCAGGGCTGAGAGGAAAGTATCCTTTGCGTTCAGGCAGCTAAAGGAAGAAGTGTTACACAAAATAGATTGTTACTGACAAGAAAATTGCCCCCCCAAAAGAAGGCGGGGCAGGCAGGCATTGCTGTACAAAAGTGCTGAGTGGGAGAATTCAGAGTGAACCAAATAATATCTGACTGATAAATATTTTTAAAAAATTAAAAAGCAGAGGAAAAGCAGAAGCAGGGTGGTATGATGAACTGAAAGTTAGCCTCAGAGTCAAAAAGATCTCACCTTTGTCATATACTAGCCTTGTGATCCTGGAGTGCTCTTGGTGCTCCGGGTGCTGATCTGCGTTGGGAAAGGAAATTAGTTCCTCAGGGGAGCCCCCCAGTTTGATGACCTCATATTTCCAGTAATAAAATGAAACTCTCAATCTCTCTCTCTCTCTCTCTCTCTCTCTCTCTCTCTCTCTGTCTCTGTGTGTGTGTGTGTGTGTGTGTGTGTGTGTCTCGTTTTCTTTTGTTAATTGTCTAGAGTTAAGAAAGTTATGGGGAAAATGTTAATAATGCAAATTAAACATTTTGGGGGGAAGAGAATTGGTGGGCAGAGGTAGTGATACAAAAAAGGGGGGAAGAAAAGAGAGTCAAGGAAAGAATTTTTAAAATACACAAAAGAAAGTTCAGAAGTGGACAGAGACAATCAGTTTTTGCTACTTTTATGTTATATTTAATATGGCAGGGGGAACTACAGAGTGAGGAAACTGTATCCATGCATGTTGGTACTTTCTCTGCAGCTGAGAGATTAAGTAACTGGCCCAGGGTCATATATAAGGGATGTTAGAAGGCGATCTTGAACCCAAGTCTACCTGGACTTCCAGCCCAACTCTTTATCCACTACAACACATTATCTCGATAAATGTAATTTACATTTTAAATTTACTTACAGTTAATACATTTTAAAAAAACCAAACTCCATATAATAGTTCACAGTTTCATCTACAATCCTTTTCCTCTGTCTTTCGTGAGTTGAAATGTTCATGTTTGTTAAATTCAAGATAAAAAAGAAAATTTTAAAAAATGTAGCTGGTGAATACCAACCCAAGCCTTCCAAATCTCCTACCTGTTTTACAGACTGTTTTATGTTGGCTCAAGAGAAGGGCACCTCCCATGCAGTTTAAGTATGATACATGTCAACTGTTTTACTCCAGTTCCTGCTCTCCTCTTCAATGCAAGTAAAAATGCTTCTTACATAAAACAGATTGTGACAGACTCTCATCCCCTTCACTTTCTTTCATTCACTTGAGAATTAAATTAAGAAATAATTTTAATTTAGCAAGAAAGTATGAGACACATTGGGCCTGGCTCTCTTCTTGGGTTTCTTCCCAGGGAAGAAACATATATAAAAGACTTTCAGTTGAACTCATTCATTTAATGTGGTTAAGATGGTGGACAGACATAAATGGGGAACTCTAGCCCTGCAGTGGGCAGCTAGGTGGCATAGTGAATAGAGAACCAGACCTGGAATCAGGAAGACCTGAGTTCAAATACAGCCTCAGACACTTACTAGTGTCACCTTGGGCAAGTCACTTAACCCTGTAAAATGTTCTAGTGAAGGAAATGGCAAACCACTTCAGTATCTTTGCCAGGAAAACCCCAAATTGGGTCACAAAGAGTCAGATATGACTAAAATGTCCAAACAAGCCCTGTAGTGGAGCAAATACCCCTGCTCATGTAACTGTTCTGCATGCCATTCCTAGAAGGTATGTGTCCTAAATCATCTAGAGCCATCCTTTCCTGAAATGGCACCAGAAAGAAGTCAGAACTGAGGATTCAGCCTGTATGAGACAGAAGTAGAAGCCAATGGTCACGTCTATACACAGCCCTTGACTTGGACATCTTCCTGTCATTTATAGGATCATAATACATTAAGAGTTGGAAGGGGCCTTAGAAATCATTTAATCAAAAAATGTTTTTTGTTTTATTGATGAGGAAACCAAGATTCAGTGAGGCTGACTTGCTCAAAGTTACAGTGGTAGCACTGAAACTTTAACTCTTATATTCTGACTCCAAACCCCACAACATTTCATCCTACCTCATACGAAGTAGTGCCTTGGAATAACTGAAAACTCTCTGGAGAATTTTCTCTGCAACTTTGGGCACTTTTTAGTGGTGCTATTAGCATATGATTTTTTTTTAATAGTCTGGATCCAAGAGGACATATAGCTTAAACACAAGGCCTTTTATTGGCCTCATCTCCCCTGCAATGGATCTTCCTGCTCAGGAAACAAGATTTATGCATATGAGTCAACAGTGAGATGTGGCAGCAATGGAAGTTAATGTGATTATAGGCTTTAATTAATGGAAGCACAATGTCCAGAATAAAGGAGGTTATAATCCCACTGTTTCTGCCAGAATCATACTACCTCTGGGAAATGTTATCCAGTTTTATATGGCACATTTTAGGAAGGATGCTTTAAAATGGTATTGTGTTGAGTGGAGGGTAATGAAATGGAGTGGGGACTCCTGGATTGTATGTCTGATAAAGAGCAGTGGAAGACACTAGCATTGGTTAGGCTGGAGAAGAGAAGACTTAAGAAAACAAAATAGCTATCTTTGAGCGTTTGAAAGGATGTCATATAGAAGAGAGATCTGACTTGCTCTGCTTGGCCCCAGAGGACAGAATTAGGGGTAATGGTTGGACGATGGAGGGAGGCAGACATAGGCTATGGATAAGGGAAATTTTCATATGTCATTATTGTTGTTGTTCAGTCATTTCAGTCATATCTCACTCTTTGTGACCACATTTGGGGTTTTCCTAGCAAAAATACTGAAGCGGTTTGCCATTTCCTTCTCCAGCTCCTTTTACAGATGAGGAAACTGAGGCAAACAGGGTAAAGTGACTTACCCTGGGTCACATAGCTAATAAGTGTCTGTGTTCAGATTTGAAGTCAGATCTTCCTGACTGCAGGCCCAGGGCTCTATTCACTGTACCACCTAGCTGCCTATATAAATATCTATATCTATAAATATAATCTTACAAATATCTATAAATGCAGTTGGCTTCTCTGGGAAATACTGGATGTCCTATCATTAGAAGCTTTCAAGCAGAGGTTGAATGACCTCTTATTGGAGATATTATAGTGAAGATCCTTGCACGGTTACAGTTACAGGGTTTACTACATGATCTCTGAGATTCTTCCCCAACTCTAAGATTCTGTCATTAGTGATTTTATTTTCAACTCAGACTATTTTCCACAGCTTTGAATACTACTTTGGTCTAAGGACTATCTCATCTCTTATAGCTGGGAAAACTTATTATTTCTATATCTTAGATATGAAATTAAGGAATATTTTTTTAAGTGAGGCAGTTGGCATTAAGTGACTTGCCCAGAGTCACACAGCTAGGAAGTATTATGTGTCTGAGGCCTGATTTGAACCTAGGTCCTCCTGACTCCAGGGCCAGTGCTCTATCCACTGTGCCACCTAGCTGCCCCAAGGAATATTATTTTTAATTATTTCTCCCAACAAAACCAATCCTAGGATAAACAAACAATAAAACCCCAGTCTCATACATAGTTAAGCAAAATGACTTAAAAAAGATTGTAAATACTGGCATATGCAAACATACCCTTCTGTTATTTGCTAATTAAAAAAAGAAATAAAGACCATATATTTTGATTTGAAAAAGGTAGCTCTCCCTCAGACGCTTACTAGCTGTGTGACCCCGGGCAAGTCACTTAACCCCGATTTTCTCCAAAAGGAAAAAAAAAAGGGTAGCTCCCAAGCTGTTCTTTGTACTTGACATTAGTTTTACTGTTATTTGAAGAATATCACAATTCTTTTTAACTTATATAATGATAAATGTGTTCCTCTTAGCAGGAGTGTTTAGTGCAAGTTATTCTGATTAACTGGAGTTTGCCAAGCCAAAGTGGCTGACTTTCTTATCCCCTTTTGACGTTAGGAAATTCAGGTCTGTGACTCATGTCATCTACATATGCTTTGACATTTCAGTGTTTGCCTTTACCCTGTGTGTTGCATAATAGAGAGCAATAATTTATACTTTCCAGTAGTCTAGTATTTCTTTTAGAAAAGGTTAAAGTTATCCCTGCTATGTGGTTCTTAGAAGCACTAGTGATGGGGAATTTTTCATTTCTGTGAAATTAGTTCCTATTAATACAGAAATAATTATTTAACATTTGCTGAGCTCCACTCTGTGCAGAGTTATGGCACCGGTGCTACAGTGTTGAGAGAAGACAGAGAATAAAAGCATGAGAAAACGTGGTCTGCCCTGACAGAGGAATTTATCTAGTTTTAGCAGACCCCTTTTTACATTGGGGGGGGGGACTTCCAGTAAGGAAAATTCCTCTACCAATATAAATCGACAATTATTCTTAGACAATTGCATGAGTCACAGGGAGGTTAATTCAATCAGTTAGTCAATAAGCATTTATTAAGGCTGAGCTGAATGCTGGGGATACAAAGACAGAAAACAGTACCTGCCCTCCAGAATTCCTAATCTAATGGGTTAACTGATTTACTCATGGTCACATAGACAGAAGTAGGACTTGAAACTTTGAAACCTAAACTTCCTAATGTTGAAGTCAGCTCTCTATCCACTATACCATGCTACCTTTTTAGAGGGTGGGTTGGGGGTGGAGGGATATATCTAGTTGAAGGAGACAAAACATGTGCATTACCTGCCATGACAAACAGTTACAGGTAATGTACTCAAGTTGAATAAGATGCCTCCTGCAAATCAAAGACCTAGACCCAAGAGGGAAGGCAGAGCAAGATTGAGGTGATCCAGAATGGTTTCCAAGAGGTAGATTTTGGTCTGGATATCAAATGAGTTGATAAGTGTCAAGATATTAGGGGACACCCTGTTTTCCAGAGCTAAGGCTCAGCAAACAGGCTGCGCCCTGAGCTTGGCATCACAACAATCCTTTGCGCTCACCCTCTGGATGATCTCAGTCACAGCAAAATCCCAGAATTGTTTTATACCAGCACCAGATGCTTCCCTAAGCTCAGACAAGCACCTGCAGTACCAATGTCCCAGTTATGAAGTTCTGCTAGGAATCAAACTTGTCGAGTTGTTGCTGTTACCCCTCATTGTCAAGGCTACAGCTCACTGTGTAGCCATTGGTATAAGTGTTGCGATCTCCCCATACTGCCTTGGGTCCCTCCCACTAGGGGCAGATCTCTGGCATACGTGCCCTTGCTTTCAAGCTGTTTTCCTCACTTTGAAATTAAACTTCTGTTTGATTCCTGACTCTCCTGCTTCTAGCCTGCTCTGTTCAGCTCCAGTCACCCACAGGTTAGAGACTGGTTCTCATCCTGTTGATGACAGACAATTTGGCAAGAAAGATGGCAAGAGAACATTTTAGATAGGAAGGAAAGATTCATGTGTAGGCCTGTGTAGCACTAGTCACATGTGGTTCCGCCACTCCTTGTTCCCCTAGGTCAGTTGGGTAATGTTTGCAGGAATCATACATATGCAAAGAGAGCATGGGCCCTCTTTCCAGGACATTCTTTACCAAGAAACTAGGCAGGAACTATAAATCAGATAAGTGACACTCAAATGGACCAGTGAACTCATCAATTTGAAAGTTCTCCCAGAGACACAAATCACAAGCTGTCCAGGCCTATATGTCCTTGTGAAACTCCGATCCATGTCCACCCAAAGTTTTGTCCCAAAGGGGTTCACTCAGAGCTGGAAGCCTTTCTCTCTCTCCCATTATTTCAAAGGAGTCAGTGGAGGACTCTGGCTATCCACCAGTTATCCCTAGCTCTTGCCACATGCACAGCCCATCTTCCCTTCCTACATCCAAGTCTTTGGTAATGTTCTTTACCTTGTCCTTCTTTGGAATCCCTCCCTGGTTATACGTTGCAGCCTGCTTATTCCCATCATGCATATCTTCATTGCAGTGGCTGGAGCACTGGACTAGGAATCAGGAAGACCTGACTTCAAGTCCAAATACTTACTAGCTGTGTGACCCTGGGCAAGACATTTAACCTCTATCTGCCTGAGTTTCTTCATCTATAAAATGGAGATAATAATAGCACTTACTTCCCAGGGCTTTTGTAAGGATCAAATGAGTTAAAATTTATAAAGCACTTTGCAAACCTTTAAGTCCTATATAAATGCTATTATTATCATCATCATCATTATTATTATTGCTTTCTATATGATGCTCATTTTTAGTTCTTCAGAGACAGTGCTGTTCCCTGTCTTGCTGACACATGGCAGCATTGGAAAAATGCATTAACAAGATGGGCCTTCGCTTTCATCAGGGTCAGTGAAAGAGCTTTGAAATTTCCTGAGAGCAATCCAGTCTGCTCTACGCCTATTCAGTTCTGAGCTCCAAATTATGGTCCATCTAGAGAGTCTGTCTCAAATATACATATGGCTGGATATAATCTATAGAGGACATTGCCATCACCCTAGTGCAGACCCTCGTCACCTCAAGCCTGAGCTATTTGCAGTAGTCTACTAGTTGGTCTCCCTGCCTCATATCTCTACCTCCTCCAGTCCAGCTTCCACTCAGATGTCAAATTATCTCCCTAAAGTACAGATCACACACCCACTCCACCCCCATTCAATAAACTCCAATCACCTCTAGGATCAATATAAACTTTTGTTTGGCATTCAAAGCCCTTTCCTTCCTACTTTTCTACTCTTTCTTCACCTTACTTCTCCCATGTACTTTGCAATCCAATGACACAGGCCTCCTTGCTGTTCCTCCCACAAGATACTCCATCTCCTGACATCTTGTAGTAAAAGAGCTTATAAGAAAGTATTTTGTTCTACCAAATCAAATGCATTTTTTTTTATAATCAACACACAATAACAAAGTGGGATCTGCTCCTCTCTTCATCTTTCAGTTTATTATGGAATGATAAAGATGTGCCTATTGCTGAATATTGCTTGTGAAAACCCTCGAGTTCCCTAATGATTGCCCTCATTGAGGATTTACTTAATTTGTGTATTTATGATTCTCTTAAAGATTTAGTATACATGGGAGAAGAGGCAGATAGATGAGTAATTACTGACAGCCTTAGTCACCTTTTATTTCAGTATTTAAGGTCTGCTATTTTGTTAATGATACTTTGGCATCTTCTTTTCCTTCAGATTTCTTGTATATCAGGTCATCAACTCTTCCACAAATGTATCATCTTGAACATAGATTTCCTTTATATTTACTTAGTCAAATCGGGCTGCTTTTCCCTGCTTTAATTTTATAGGCACAACTGAGACTGTGTGATTGTTCCAACATCCTTAAGGGAGAAAGGAGTTTGCTGAAATGTTGTGGGGCTTTCTGGTTATTCTGTATAGGTGGGGAGAATTTCTACACAAAAGAATTCCTTACACTGCTGACATTGCAGGTTGGAATCCTCCTTCACAGAGCTTTTGTAAAGATCAAGTGGTATAATATATTTAAAGTTCTATACTCATTTCAGTTATTATAATTTGTGCTAATATGTTTATCTGCAACCTGACTGTATTAATGGATTTTTTTAAACTTTTATAGGGATTGACAACGTTGCTTTATCTCCTGGTGGAAGATGTCTTTCAACTCATAAACTACTACTCATTCAGCTATTAGCTATTTGTTGGTCTACCAGTCTATCTATTGTGCCGCCTAGCTCTAATTGAGCACATGATTCATTTTATTTCTTGTAGTATATTTCATTCTTTGTTCCCCATAGTGGTTCATTTTCCCCCCAAAAAAAGGAAAGCTTAATTTTAATTAAAGGATTTATTTGGGGAAATAAAGTACCAGTAGTTTTCTAAAAAGAAATGAACCAATAAAGGGTTCATCATCAGAGATAAGGAAAGAATTAATAAAAGAACATGAAGGAATATGCTAGAATTCAAAAGGGGATGGAAGGAAAAATACGGGAAGAAGAATAGAGGAATAAGATCGTGAAATTGAAGAAGAAAAGAAGCCTATATTTCCTTCAAGATGCCTTACGTACCAGATAATATGGGCACAAATACCTACATGCCATATACTGTAGTTTCTTCATTTCCTTAAACACTCCTAATTATTGAATAAGAACCACCAAAATAAAAATAAATTTCTAGGGAGAGATAAATGATTTTGCTAGTTTCTTGCTCAGATATTCAGTTCAGTCTACTGCTTTCATGCATCAGTAATGAGACTGAAAAATGGGCAGTGTTTCGTAATGAAAGCAGTGCTAGACTGAAAGTCAAGAGTCCTGCCTCTGACGCTCACCAGCCATGTGACCACATGCTAGTCACTTGCCTCAGGCACCTCTCTAACAGCATAGCCTGTAATCTCCCAGTTATTTCTTCATTCTGAGGAATGGATTCATTTGTTTCCTCATTAATGACATCACTTGTGTGGTAAGATAGGAACACAGATGGTCATTTTTAGGGTGTCATTTCTAAAGTTTATCAGGAAAAATATACCTTTAAGTCTAAACTTCTTTGAGCATACAGAACCCCTTTAGTAATAACTATGCAAATTTGTACCCAGCTTTTGTTAATAGATTTAACAATAACACTAGACCATCCCAGTCTATTTTTTTCTCAGATTTCAGGGCAGGGGGAATATAATAAATGTGGCAATATATTGACAATCAAATGATTTATATTTCTTAATTATAATGCACATGTTGTCATTCACATTTTTTCTTATCACCCAGTTATCCCTACATTTAAGTGCAGATTAAAAATTAAGTTAGAAATGTCAGTGTTGACAAGGATAATTCAGGTCTATACATAGCCCTTGACTGATGCACTTTTCAGTCAGTTCTTTTCAAGTTATCTTCAGTGGCACCATTGATTAATTTAACAGTTATAATCTAAAGTGGACATGAGAGCTGCCCCAGTTTTAGGTCAAAACATTTATGGATCCATTGGGTTCTTCCCCTCATTTATACAACCAATGTTATAACCTACATAGCATTCATTGGGACATGAGTGAGATCCTGTGGGGAGAAGAGAGGTAAGTAGCAGTTGGTAATCTCCCTATGCCTATAAGCCCTTGAGAAACATAGCAATTTAAGGTTCTTTTTTCTCCTCTACTTAGTTTCTTTCAATTTTTATTTCCTTTTAATACAAGCTCAGCCTGTTCTTTCCAGTGGTTTATTGCCTGTGTACTCTCTTCCTGGTGATTATACCTCTCTACAGTGACACTATTAATTCTTTCACTGGAACTGGAATCAGTTTGTCTGGAATTCCTGCATATTTCTTGGGAGTACATTTATCAGCTAAGAATTGACCTCCATGTCTCCAAAGGCTCTATGGTAAGAAATATGAGCTCAAATTTCCTCTCATCTCATGATTTGGTCTTTAAAAATCCCATTCTGAAATAGCTATTGGTAAATGGAAAATTCATGCCTGGATTATTGCAATAGCTTTCTGGTTGGTCTGCTTGCCTCGACTTTATCCTGACTCAAGTATATTCTCCACTCTTCTGTCAAATTGATCTTCCCAAACTTCAGGACTGACCATGTCTTATTCCCACTCAATAAATTCCAGTGGCTCAACTAGATAAAATATTAAATCTTCTGTTTGGAATTCAGAGTCATCCATAACCTGACCCCCTTCTACCTTTCCAGTCTTGTTATATCTCCCTTCTCCTACATACTCTGCAATCCACTGACACTGAGCAGTTCCTTGCACAAGACACACCATCTCCTGACTCGGCTTTTTACTGGTTGTCTGCCACACATAGAATGCTCTCTCTCCTCATCTTTGTCTCTTGACCTCCCTGGCTTCCTTTGGGTCCCAGCTAAAGTCTCACCTTTTGTAAGAAGTCTTTCCTGGTCCTTCTTAATACAAGTACCCTCTGCTGATTATCTGCAGTTTGTCCTGTATATATCTTATTTGTACAAGGTTGTTTGCATGTTGTCTCTCCTAGTGGACTTTTTTTTTTTGGCCTTTTTTTGTAGCACCAGAGCTTAGCACGGTACCTGCCACTTAATAAGTATTTGTTTGTTAACTGACCACTCACTGCTCTCCCTCATAATCCGCTTTGCTGGGTCCGTGTATATAGTTTCTAAGTCTGTGTGTTAGCCAAAAACAGAGTCCTGCAATTTACCCTGACAAGAGAGAAAAGGGAATTTAACAATATATATGGAAAGGATGACCAATCATCTGTCTTCTTAAATCACTGTAGAAAAAGGGGGGGGGGAGGCTTAGGGAGTAGAAGAATATGGAATGGTAGTTATATTCACTTAAATAGTATTTGGCTGGACCCATTACCTAATCACCTTAGAATGAGAAATATAGATAGTAAGGTAGAATATGGAAGGAATTCAGGGATTAATTAAAAATAGGTCCAATCACTCCTAAGAGAGAGCAGAACTAACTCTCTCTTAGGATTTAAGGGGATAATAACTCATTTTATCTTTGTAAATGTTTATGAATGAACAGTATACTCCCATGAGCATTTTACCACAGAATCAGTTTAGTCACTAGTTTCTCTATTGGGAAATAGGAAATTAGTAACCAAGGCTTTATTATCAAAGGCAGATTACATTATGTTCCATGTAGCTTTAATGTTAAGTGCATTATACTATTTTCTTAAAAAACTGTTCATTTGTATATAGGCATACCCAGTCTATCATCTCTAATTGGTTCCAGGAATACATGGCAATATGTATTTTTTCAAAAATGGTATGGGGGCAATTATTTCCACAGAAATAGAGCAGAGCAAAGCAGAACCAATGAAAGGGCAGGAGGAATGAGAAGCAGGAAAGAATGAATTTAGTCACTAATTTTCCTAATCTTTCAATTTCTTTTCATTTCATTTCTTTTCAAGGAACTCTATGAAAGTCATTCTTTCAAAGGTCAACAATGACCTCCTAATTGCTAAATCCAGTGGCTGTTTCTCAAGCCTTGTCCTCAATGACCCTACAATGATACTTTCAACCAACAACACTTTAATATTGTCTAATCCTTTAGTTTCTATCTTATTGTATGCTCCTGATTCTTTCTTCCTAAGTACTTTAATACTCTGAGAATCCATACTCCCAATTATGATTCAAATGGAGCTACTTGACTATGCCTTTAAACCCAAATCACTCTGGCTTTCACTGATTGGCCAATAATAGGTCCCAGCCTAAAACTCACTTGTTCATTTGGTGGCTCAGAGTAAGTGTAAGTAGCAATAGTTTCTCTTCTGGCCAGAAACTCCGAGGGTCTTCTCCTCTCAGACTGATTCTTTTGTGAAGGCAAACTAGTCCATCTTTTGCCTCAATTCTTACCTGGCCTTTAAGTATTGAATGAGTGTTGACTCAGTCATACTGAGACCTGGGAAAGACCTTAGCTTAAAAAGTCCAACATCTTCCATTCATAGGGGCCAACAGCAGCCACCCTCACCTATGTCTTGCCACTGGACTCAGATATCTCTGAAGGAGATAGTGAGGCTGATAACTCTGCACAGCTTTGCCTCACTAAAATCCAATTCACTTGCAAGTCAAGACATCATCCTGTTGATATCATTGGTCCTCTTACAGAACTAAGGCTAATAACAACAAACAACTCCTAAAACTGTGGCTCACAAATCCCTCCCAGTGCACTTCCCTTTTTAATAGTCAATCAGAATACACCATTAGCATGAAGCCAAGACATTGCTGGGATGGCAATATTCAGAACAGTAACTATAAAAGATTCTCCCCATTAAAGGTGGGGCACACTCTCCACAGCAGCATTTGGAAGGGTTAGAGGTAGGGTTAGGGTTAGAGTTAGGGTTAGGATCAGATTTAGGGTTACAGTTGCACTGCTAATGAGATATACATTTAGTCAAGACTACTCATGCTCCTGGCACTGCAAGGAGTCAATGTCCTTGCCCTAATGTTATGTCATCATGCATATGGCACAGCATCTTCACTGAGCCTCTCACTCAACTGGGCTCTTTGGGCATTATCTACTTCACAACTTAATTTACAATTGCCAGTACTAATTCCATTCATTTTTCATAGCTAAGTCTGTGCTGCCATAGCTCACACTCCTTGCAACTTCCTCACTGACTCCTTAGAGCAGAAGCCTATAAACTTTTTTTTTCCTTCCATATCACATTAGATTAGAAAAAAGTCACGATGTGTCCTTAATATTTGTATATTTGGTTATTTATAAATTAGTATTTGTTTCTACATTTATGTACATTCTGAGACATACATATGATAAGTAATACTGTATAGTGTATAGAGAGCTAGCCTTGAAGCAAGCAAGATCTGGGTTTGAATACTGCCTCTGAGACTGACTGTGTCGCTAAGCAAGTCACCTAACTTCTCAGTGCTCTAGGCAACTTTTTGAGAAAATAAATTACAGAGAGGTTGCTGACCTCCATTGATAGAGTGAGTTTCCTCACCTAGGAGTTCCAAATACCAAAAAAAACCCAAAAACAAACCCCACACATCTTGTCCATATCCCCACAAAAGTTACAAAATAAGAATAGAAATTGAAAAAGGGATAAGATGAAAAAACAATATTCTAGAAACAATAGGGAGCCATTGGAACTTGAGGGAGAAGTGATATGAGACCTGTGTTTTAGCAAAATCACTTTGGCAGCTGTGTGGAAAATGGCTTGGAGATGGAAGAAGCTTAAGACTGGGAGTCCAAATGGGAGGCTACTGTAATAGTCCAAGTGATAGGTGATGCCAACTTGAGCTAGGATGGCCATGGAACTATAGAGGAATTTGTTTAAGAAAGGTTACAGAGGTAGAAAAAAAACCAATTTGACCATGGATTGGATATATCAGTTAAGAGAGATGTTGGGGTGCTTGGGTGCTTATGCTTGGGTGCTTATGTTTGGGTGCTTGTACTTGGGCCCCAATTTCTCCCTAGCCTCAGAAACACTGTCCCTTGATAATCATTTAAGATCAGTTGAGCCCCAATAAGGGTCAAAAACCTAAATTAATCTTTTTCTCTCTGAGTGAACTAAAGACACCCCTTCCTGTGTCAGCAAATTCCAGGACCAGATAGAACTGATCAGTATTATTCCTGTTTGTTATCACTGGGCCCAGGATGTCTGGGACCAGATACTGTCTTGAATAATGGGACTTCTCTTATCTTGAGTTTCAATTAAGAACTGACCACTTCTTAACCACTTCCTAATCCCACCCTGAATCCCCTAGTTAGCATATTTGATATATGTTTTATTGTATTGTATCCTATATAAACTTCAACTGTACCTCTCTAAGGTTGCAGGATCCTTAAGAATCCTTGCCCGCTGAAAAGCATAACAATAAATCTTTGACACCTTGGGTTAAAGAATGCTTGAGTCTGTGAATTCATTCCAGATGACCCATCTTGTACTCTGGTCTTTGAGGGGTCACAACCTCTCAACCTCTCAGCCCGCAACAGAGAGAAAGAAGAAATTGAAAGGTTTTGAACCTGGGAAACTGAAAGAGTGATACAGCTTCGAATAGGGAAGCTCAGGAAAGGGGTGTGTTTGGGGGGAAAGTCATGTCATGAGATCTGCTGTCACATCCTATTGATGACTACTCATTGAGTGAGACTATCCCACTGAAAATTAAAAGAGGGTAGTGCCTCTCTAGTCACTTTCTTGGAGCACCGAATTCACTTACTAAGGGGTGCCTGCCACAGACACTGAAAGATTTCGAGTTGGGGAAGGGGGCAGTTTAGCTGATAGTTATGCTGGGGCGAAAGGTATTGACTTTTCCAATGACACATGCATAGCTCTTGCTGTAGGTATCCAGGTGATTATTAAATAATTTCCTTGAGGGTCTTGAGACACAGCAAGGAAGGGTTGAGGAGGCTGGAGCCTAGCACAGGAATAAAAGGAGACAGAGTGGGAGAGAAATGGGGGATAAGGACAAGTGTGCTTATGTTATAGATGAATCCCATCACAGGAAGAGGAGAGTACAAACCCTTTCCACACACCATGAATTGAGGCTATGGTGGATCTTTTGGTCCCTACTTTGTAGAAGAGTGCCTTTGAAGACTTGAGTCATTAGAGAATGTACTTCAATTTTCTATAGGACTACTAGAGATGTGGTCATGCTTTTGATAGACAATAACAGAATGAAAACCTTCTTTGTACTCATTTAAGATCATAACACCTTATTGTTTATGTTACCTGCTTCCTTACTTTCTCGGATTACTTTCTCGGATTACTTTCTGTGGACTCAGAGGAAATAACTTGATAAGGGGTGTCCTGATCAACTACTCTTAACTATATAGAATAGAAACAAAATAAATATAAGGTAAATTCTGAAAGGTCACTAGCAAGAGAGTAGGGGCAGGGAATCATGAAAGGCTTCATGTAGATGAAGATGTAGATGTAGGTGCCTCAGCTGATTCTTTAAGAAAGCATAGGTTTCCAAAATATGGAAGCAGGGAGGAAATGTATTCCAGGAATGGGAGACAGCCAGTATAAAGGCACAGAGAGAGGACGATAAATATCGTGTATAAGGAGCAACAAGGCCAGTTTGACTGGAAGGGGAATAATGTATAATAAGGTTGGAAAGTAGGGTGGGGTTGATTGTGAAGGTTAAATAAGAATTTATGTGTGATCTTAGAAGCAATAGAAATCATTGCAGTGTATTGCATAGGGAAGTCACATTTTCAGAGCTATGCTTTAGGAAAACCATTTTGTTAGGTATGTAGAAGATGGATTCATGAGGTAATAACAATGATGATGCTAATAGAATTGAGATACAAGCTTGTCTGAAGGCAAAAGGGCCAATTTGAAAACCATATGCATTTCCAGTTGGGCAAAATATTCAGTCTAGTTTCATAATGCAGATGGGTAATATG